AATAACAATTTAATTTATATCAATCATTAAATATGCACAATTATTTTATTACCTTCATCATTCTTAAAAGAAATTATGCACGCTCAAAAATATTTTTAAAAAATATTTTAGAGATATTTTCGATACTATTGAAAACACTCGCCCCTCTTTTGTTTAACAGCTATTTACAAAATATTTTAACGAATGGCGGATAATTTTAATTTAGACATAGTAAAGTACAGCTTTAATTTACAGAATTAAGGAATTTAACTAATATAGCTCGTAATTGTTTATTTAAAAAACACTAATATGATTCTTTAAAAATAAAGGAATATTATAAAAAATAATTATGAACTATTAACTAACATGCGTATAATTGAATTTTAGAATTGAGTTCAACTTCGTATGCATTTATTATACACGTTAAAACGTACTCGTAAATTTGCTATGCATGAAGTAGTTGATAAATTTATTTCAGTCATAATTCTTAAACATAAAAATAATTCTAAATTATATTATATAATCGAATATATATATATATATATCGGTCATTAAATAATTTATGCTCACATACAAACACACAAAATGATTAGTTGAAAATAGTCTAAAATCCAAAGTAATTGGGTTAATAAACACTAGTTATAATAACTCTAGTCTATTTATCACTATTACAAACATTAAACAGTGAATGATATAATAATGAACTTATATAAATATATTATATATAATCGCAAGAATAGCCGAATTTCACTATAATTTAATCGTGACAAAGATACTTCTATTTGTATTTAACCAATTAAAAAAATTTAAGACATTTATTATTCAACAGTTTTTAGAATATTTTACGTACGCCAAATTTTTCCTATAATAATAAAAGTATTTTAATATCCTTTACATATAAATATTGATAATAAAGTAATATAAACTTTCATCGAATTATTCACAATAGAAAATTACTAAAATGAAGTTTTTCAGGAAATTCTTGTAAATGCTTTGTGAATTTAAAGAATGATATTTTATAATAAAAATAAATAATGTTTAAAAATAACCTTTTCATAATTACTTTTGGATAAATATTGATGTTGAAATTAATCTCTCAAATTTTATGAGAATAATTGATTCACAAAAATTTTCCAACATAAATTATTTCTTACGATGGTATAGAAATATTTAAATAAGCAAATTGTTAATATTTAAATATTTTTAAGTCTACTTATTTATAATGAATGAGATCGGTTGCTTGCATATTAAAATTTGTTTAATATATTACTCAATACACAATAATATAATATCATAAAAATACAGAAAAAAAAATTATAAATAAATATATGTATAAGGCTGTAATTAAAATAATGTATAGTCGAATTAGTTTTTTGATGAATAAATATGTTTTTCAACTGGTTGGTATCAAATTCGTAAAAAGAATAATACAAGGATAATATATTCTTATCTAAAGTATTATAGAAAAATTGACAATTAAAAAATCTTATAATATATAAATTATATTTGAAACTATGATTAAAAAGAATATTTAATCATATTCAACAGATGTAACAGAAACAAAAATTTAATAAAAACGTATAAGACTTTATTACTGAAATTTGAGTATTGATAATTTAATTATGATATTTAAAAATATATATCTCATCTTAAATAACTTGATGAAAGAACAATTCATAAAGTTAAGTTAAAAATTGAATCGTTCATTTACGTTTTTTAAAAATGATTAATCAATATATTTCTAATTAGTGTGATTGAAATAACGATTTAAAGTGAAAGAAAGCAAAAACAATGAGAACATGTAAAAGAATAATGAATATGTAAATTTTGAAATTTATTCAAAGCGTAAGACTAATTCGATTAACGCAAGCATAAATGAAAAATCAAAGAATAATACATAGAGTTTAGTATAATAAATATTTGATATTTTAAGCAAATTTACTCAAATTACGATTAAAGTATAAAGATAATACTATATGAGATTTAACAGTTTATATCTATGACAATGGAAACTTTTATAGGAGATTAATGTTTGTAATAATAATTATAGTAGTAATTGTACGAGTACAGATGGTTATAATGACGATAATATGCATGCCGTTAATGATGATAAACATGTTGATTCAAAGATAATAGCTTCTATGACTTTTTAATTTTAATTATATTTGACCTTGTAGTAGTTCAAAAAAAATTTTAAATAAAGTTTACTTAATAATTTATTTCTTAAATTAGCCCATACGAGATAATTAGAATAAATTTATATTTCCGTATAATAGTACTATTATATTATGAGTGCTTCCTCAAGTTCGTGAATTTAGTATAATATTCGATTGCATTAAATCGAATTTATAAAATAAAATATAAGGGATGGGTGAGATTAATAAACCATAGTCCACGAGTGCAGTTAATATTTTATTACAACCACACTTTAAAATTTTTTAAGTGAAAAAAATAATGATATATATAGATATTGCGTCAGTAGATATTTAATTGAAAAATTAAATTTTTATACTGGCTATCAAAATTTATCTACCTATCTGGGGAAATACATTTTTTTCAAATTATTAGTTTTATTTACTTTCTATCTAGAAATATTATAAATATATTTAAAAATTATTTATGTACAGAATAAAGTGAAATATCTAACATTCGACTTAAAATTAATTTTCAATTTTCATTTTCTAGTCATTAAGGTCCGTATATTATATATTAATGACGATATTATTATTAATTAAATTGAAAATTTTTTTTGTGTAAACTCACTTAAAATTATTAGTTCTGTCACATAAATTCACTATTATAATTTATGCAATAACTAATCATCAATGATATTACTGAATCTGGAATTTGAAATTATTATTTATTTTATATGTAAATATTAAATATCAATTTGTTAATTTTAATATATCAGTGTACGAAACATTTAAGCATAATGAATGATAGGACCAAGCTAAAGATATTAAACATTACAGTCCTAAATAAGATGAAATCTATGCTTTTTAAAAATATTACTTGTCCCGAAATTGCATACATTAAAATGAATAAATGATGTAGATAAATTATAAAATAAAATAGTGTCCGAGATTCTAATATGAAAACGAAAAATTAAAAAAAAAACACGTTGAGATAAATCGAGAAAAAACGTAAGGAAAAAAAAAGAAAAAACACTGAACACTGACTGCGTAATAAAGAAAAGTAATCATCTATTTTTAAAAATGCAAAAATTACGAAATAACAAATGAAATATTAAGTAATTGAACTGAATTTACAGCGCGAGAAATGTGTAAATACGGAAATGGCAGTATAAATCTAATCTTGTATTCTTATAGTCAAAAATAAATTTGTACATTCTGATGATAAATCTATTTAAAAAATACTGACCATCTATCTGCACAATTTTGCATTGGGGTAGGAATAATAAAGTAATTTTAATGATTAATAAAATGAATACACAATTATTATATGTCCTATTGTCATTATTTTCGAATATTTTTTAGTGTTCGTATTTAAAATGTTTTTATTGAAATAGTTATAAAATGTACAAATCAAATTAAAAATATAATAATATTATTTATAATATTTGTAGTTTAGACCAATTATTTACACATAATAATTTACGTCAATCTAAAGTTAATTATTACATTAAGAATTTATTCATATATTTCTTCTTCGTCGTTTTTACATTATTTATTTATAATCTTTAAGAAAATATTACATTTTAACATAAATATACATATATATGTAATTATTTTATTGATAATATAATCTATTGATACCGGCAAGTAATATATACTATTCCATAATCACATATTAAAAATAAATTAAATAGTCATAATAATAGTGATATGTATGATGTAAAGTAAAATATACTAGATTCATATATATATATACATATATATATATATATATAGATAGATAGATAATAAAGCTAAGAGTACTTTGAATTAAAAAAAAAGAAAAAAAAAGAAAACAAATGAATATCGGTTAACATACAAAAGCGGACAGTTTAAATTCCCTTCGAATACAAGTACGTATTCTCAAAGTATTTTCCAACAAATAATGCAGAAACATTATTTGAACTGAAATAGCATAAAAATGGAAAAACTTGTTTTTTATTCAAATATTATATTAATAGAATAGTTTCGGTAATGTAAGTAAAAAATACCACAATAACATAATATAAATAATTTATATAATATAGGGATAGGTATTTAAAAAAAAAAACTTACGTTTATATAATTTTATGTATAAAGTAGCCCACTATATTATTAATATTATATAAATAATTTTCTAATTTCTTTAATATTTTATAAGTGTTTTGAAGAATAATTTATACTCTCAATATATTCCATTATCATGATAGAAGAGTACACAAGGGAAATTTTAGTTTTTGAATACTCAATATAAATTTTTATAAATAAACAATTTATTAATAGATTAAAAAAAGAATATATGAAGTCAATGTCATATAGCTAATAAACTATTTATATTTTTCAATAGTAAAGAAATGATGACATTTATGCCGTTAATTAAGTAAATGAATTGTCCCTTGAGCTGAATGTATTGAAAAAGTTTTAAATGAAATTTCAGATAAACTTTGCAATGTCAAATTTTGCCGCAATAATTCTTATTATTATTATTATATATATATATATATATATATATATAAATAATATTTAAATATAATTTATATTTTGAGATGTATAATAATCAATAATTAAATTTTAGAAGGTAATGTGACTTAAAATTTCAAAAGTCAAGTTTAATTTTCTTACTTCCATCACTTATATAACTCAAATAAATCATTTACAAAAAGTATATATATATATATATATATGATGTGATGAAGTTGACTTTATTTTAAAAGCTAGAAAGAAAGGCACTATCGTATTTTTCTTTCACTTACTGCAGCATTTATAGATAAAAAGCTGCGCTAAGTTGAATGTGAAATAAGTAATATATTCATAAACTGTGAATATAAATTATAAAATCATTAAGATAAATTTATTACGATAACTCACCAAGAATCTCGAGGATCTGGGAGCGTTCTATGTACGGAAATCAAATCGCTAGCGTACTGATTGAAAGCATTGTTGATCCATCCGTCGTCCACCAACTTCTTGATTTCCGTTGTAAGATTCGTCGGTAAGATAACTGGCCTACCCATTTCACCTGGAGCCGACCCGTCTTGTTCCCGAGGTGCTGCCAATACCCCACCGCCTTCTAATATAAAATGAATTCAAATATAAGAAGTTTTTGGTCCTCTTAAATAAAATTGCCTTTCTAAAGTTATTTATATGTATCGTAACCCAATTATGTACTTTTATGAGGATATGAATTATGAATAATGTGAACATTTAAGAAATATTCAATTTTGTTGGAAAAGAAATTTTTTTAAATCTCGGAATTTTGCACGAATTTTAATGTATTTAAAAAAAAATGCTATTAATGCATATAATTATACAATTAAATAAATATCGCGATAAATTAATATCCGTAATTTATTGAATTAGTGAATTATTTTATATGTAATTACTGTATAATACTGTATACATGTATATTTATCATAAGAATTAGAATTCCATTAATTTAATAATATTAAATTTAGTTTATTTTCATTTGTTATTTAACGAGTATCTTTAACGTCTTCGGTTTGAATAATTCGATATTCACTATAGATTTACCTTAAAAATTTCTATTCTTCCTTTACTTCATGATATACACGAATTTATTATAAATACAAAATTGTTTTAATATTTTTGATACCACGGCTATCAATGTTTTTTTCTATATCATTACATCAAGTATGACGATTTCTAGCACCGCACAAAACAACATATATATGTTGTATATTACACGCGAGTAATCAAATAAATATAAATAAAAGTTTCAAGATTATTTATATAATAATTCAGATCAAAATTGTTCAATCGAAGGTATACTTTAACTATTAACTTCGTATGTAAAATTTAGCTTCATTCACAAATAATCTCCTGTACACTAAACATAAATACATATTAATAATAATTGAAACTATGGTGTACATTATTAAAATAAATTTGTAATATTTTAATAAGCTTTTAAGCAAAAATAAATCGTGACTGCAGAATATGCGTTTTTTTTGTTTTTGTTTTTTTTTTGTTTTTTGTTTGTTTTGAATTAATCAAAAATACTGATACTAGAATAAAGGAAAAAAAATGGTGGATTTTTTTTCAAATCTTTACTTACTTAATACAATAAAATATAAATTAGGTTAATATTATAAAGCTCAAGTGATGTGGCAATTGCTATGAAGCAACAGCACTTTATAAAAAATCTTAAAGTTTAGAACCGCGATGTCTTTCGAAGAAAATAAAAAAAAAATTTGACTACATTTATCCGTTTAGTCACACTGTACTCAGCACTACTTATCTCTTCAAAGTAATTTCGTCGTTATTAAGTGAAAGTGAGGGAGTCACGGGCAAGATATCGAGTTTCTCGGCGCGATTGTGATAAAACCTAAGGATGTGGCATTGACAATAGGAAAAACGAAGCGAACGACTTACCTTGATCGGGACCTGCGTGGTTCGCCTTAGATTTGCTGACGACGTTCGTAAGGGTCTCCTTCTTAATAGCTTGGACCGCGGGCGGCACGAAGCCATTGGCCATCTGAGGCGCGGCCATTAGAGGCTGCTGCTGGACCGCTTGCTGGATCGGCTGCTGAAGTCCTTGGTCGGCAACGGCAGCCGCCCTGTCCTCCGTATAAAGGAGAAAGCAGACGGTCAGCCAGACGGCACCCGCGAGGATCGCGACCTTGAGCCACAAGGAACGCCGGCGCGGAAAGCCCATTGCTCTCGACTATCTGGCGCACGATTCGCGTCCCGACCTGTAATCGCCTGCTCGTCGTTGTCTTAGTCCTACCCTCGGCGATCTCCCCCGACCGCGAGCCAATAGCCGGACGACTCTCAACGCGCTCCTTTTCTGCTGTTATCTCAGCGACATGTCCCGCGCTAGAGTATCGCGGAATTTCTCGGCTTTTATTTTGCGCCTGGACTCCCTCCGGAAGAATCGGACGACTGTCCTAGAACCTCTCGACGATGCCTTTGCGACATCATAGGCGCTGCCACCTGCGCCTCTGAAAACTTGGCGAGCAAAAGCCGAAGTCCTCTTGGAGATCGATTGCTCTCACTCAGGCCGTGGCTCTTTCTGAAACAGATGATGGTACAATTTTTTACATTTTTTACATTACTTTCATCGCCGGTCAAGCCTCCTCGTTTTCGCATGCAAATGACAAGGGACGGAAGCGTCGCTCGCCGCAAACTTGACTTTACTAAGTGATAACGAAATGACTCGACTGGTTTGTAAGTGTAGGTGTGACGCAGACATCGAGTCGACAGCTACATTATCGACGCTCCTGGATTGCCCGGGATGACAAGGCACTTCCTAATGAAAAGGAAACTTCGTTTCCCGGATGTCCGCGCGTCTCTTCGGGCACTAACCTTCTATTACAATAACCTATCGCGCTTTAATCATTCATTTTCTTCCTCTTTAGTTTTTTTCTCTCAAATTTTTCCATTTCATACTAAAATCGTTGCGCCACTTTTTACAACAAACTTTTATTGTATTTCAGTCGTTCAAGCTTTTCACATATTGGCAATCGGAGAGAATGTTCAATCATGTTCATCGTAAGGTACGAGGAACATATTAATTCGAGGCACGGCTCTGAACGTGACATTTTAATTAATAATAATATTATATTTTAATTATGTAATTATTTTTCTTGCCAGCTTAGCTAACGCACACATATCTTACAACTGATTATTATAACTTGCGTATTTACGATGAAGTATGTGTATTTATAAAGAGAAAGAGGTTAATGAATGTATCATACAATGATTTTTACATAATCTGGTCTAACTGCAGATCGAAAATACTTAACCTCTTACTGTCAATTAATACAAAGTTTGCTCGCTTTATAAGGTAATTCCAACAAATTTCTCACGGAGCAGTACAAAATTAGAAATACAATATCTTAATACAGAAATGTATTTTGTAAGCAAATATCCAGGTACTTATATTGCCCAATAGTACCATATTATCATTATAATCATATATAAATTTTAACACAATCATAAAAACGTGTTCAATTAAACGAAAATAATTTAATGTTATCCTTTATTGTAGCGCCAAATTTATTCACCTTCAATTAACGATAAAATTCATTTAATCTCTTCTTATCGTGAAAAAAAAAATTAATAATGATTTAATTTATAAATAATTATACGTTTATTTGTTACTCGATAAGAGAATGCAAATTACGGAGGTAAAATTTTCTTTATCGGTTGAGAATATTTTTTTCAAAGTAAAATTATCGACCAAATGACAGATAAATCTTATTACAATAACTCTCATTATCTCCAACTAATATTGTAATACATATTGAATATATATTGTTCCTAATGAATGGGTAAAACATCGAGATTAACAATTTTCAAAATCTAAGCATAAAACTATTTAGAATTTTTGTATTGTTGATGTGATTTTGTATGTTTGTATGGATAGATGAATAATAAAGTCGTGTATATGTCGAAGGATTTGCCAAGTAAACCTAGAATATTGTCCAATACGGTGTGCCGAAGTGTCAAATCACGGATAATAACGGGATACTGCCTCTAAGCTCGTACACAACTACTGGAATATCTGTATAGACTTGTAGTTCGGTATATAGTACTACACTTTCTCAAGTAATAGAAATATGCACCAAGTCACCTGCTACAGACGATTATTTGACATACACTTGGGACATATATATACCATGAATGTCATGACTCATAATCTACCTACGTATATCTCATAATAAAAGACATAATATATTGCAAAATTTCAAATTAATAAAATAGATTGTTTACTGACATATTAACTTTTACAGCAATAACAACAACCAAAAACAAAAAACAAAAAACAAAAAACAAAAAAAATGAAAACCCATTACATTTGCATTATATTTACAATATATATATATTGATTGTACAGTATATAAGTGATTAAGTTGCGTTGATTAAAAAAAACTACGTTAAAAGAGAGACATAATATAACATATTCTTGTATAAGATTAAAATAGATTTTCTATATTTTGCAAATTAATAATATTATTCCATTAATTCTACATTAATAAAAATAATTAATTTTATAAGTTCGAAAGTAATTAAATTCCTACCAGCTAGATGATATAATTGAAACTCGCATAATGAAAATAGATTCGACAGAGACGAGAGGTTCGTTTATTGTTATATTATATTAAAGCTTCATCAACGGCGTTAATGATGTCCAGTGTGAAGTATCATCAAAGTTCCGACATATTAATCTGAGCGACAGCAAAGGACCAGCTGAAGTTGAATTATTCATTTGAAGTTGAGCAAATAATAAGATATTAAAAAAAAAAAAAAAAAAAAAAAATTAAATAAAATAAAAAAACAGAAATATGATAAAACCAATGGGTTTTTGTGTTATTAGAAAAGAAACTCTTTAAAAGTTTATTATTTATTGCAACAAATTTTCAATTCATTAAAATAAAAATATATGCTTAAGTAAAAATTGTCACATAGAAAAATGGAAGTACACAATAAATTAACTAATGATTTTGATGTCCGTGCCTTTTCTGAATAACAAATTCCTCCTATTTATATAAAATTACAGAGATTTCACAAAACATTATTTGTTAAAAATGTAGAAAAAATTATTTAATCAAGGCTTGATTTTTTATGTATCAATGTATAAAAGCTTTTATATATTGAAGTAAGCCGAAATAAAGTAAAATGCAAGATATTACTTATATTTGCATATGTGCTAACTAAAATCTACTTTTTTTCTAGAAAATGAAACACATTTTAAGTTGAAAAACTCCATTAATTTTAATCCGATTATATTAAAACTTTGATGAAATAAATTCACAATGATGTTTTTTAAGAAAAATAAGAGAATCATATTTAAGAATGATTATTACTTAAAGTCCTTTGATTTTTGAACATTTAACATTAATCAATTTATAATACGCGTTATTTAAATGTAGTAATGTAAAGAGAAAAAATATCAATATAATTCAATATAGTAGAAAAGTGACTTTTTACAGCGATTCTCATTTATCTTTGAGGTTATAAAAAAGACATTTAAAGAATGTTCTAGATAAAAGAAATTCACAAAAGCAGATATAGGTTTGTTAGATCATAATTTTAATAGTTTTGTGATATCACATTTGGTCACTTAAACAATCTAATACATAAATGTATTACGAGAGAAAAGAATGATGATAATAATAATAGTAACAATAGTAAAAACAACAACAGCAACAACAACGACAACGACAACGACAACGACAACGACAACGACAACGACAACGGTAATAATAATAATGTTATGAAAGTTTGGCAAAATGAAATTGTCGTGCAACGCTTAATTTGAAAAGTTATTCGCCAAATAAAAAGAGAAACATAATTGTAGAAAGTTGTCGGTGTGAAACAATCGAAAGCCAAGGAAAATTTTCTGGAACTAGGCGCACGTGCAGAAAGTCAGCGAGTGATCCGGCAGATTCGCAGCGCCGATGCTTCGGAAAGTCCGATGATAGACAGAGGGCGTAGAAACAGCCATCCCGTACGATTGCAGCTTAACAGTGTATTGGTCGTACATCAGACACGGCTGTATAAAAGACGTAGAGTGTGGTGTAAAACAGAGCTGAGTCCGCAATGGTTTACGGGGTCGTTAGCAGGAATTCTGGACTTAAAGAGGAACTCGAAGGCAATATAGATGGTCAAGCATCGGGCAGGATCGCGCATCGCGACAGCGTCGGGCCGTTAAAAGCCTTGACAATGAAAAGCACTGGATGCGCGGAGGCAATAAAGACTTAACGCGCCAACCACTAATGGAGTAATGGACACAGCCGTCGCGCATAGGGACCTCCTGGACTCTAGCCAAATAAGTGTCCCTCGGTGCATAACCATACAGCACACGTACACAGCATCTCTGGAGTCTCCTTTTGTCGCGCCCCTTTGTCTCGTTCCTAATTGCGCTCGTCGTGTCGTGTTTTATTTGAGGGACGTCGTTCGTGCGCGAGCGAATCTCGAGGCCGGAAAATCAAGCCGCGCCAATGCGGAAAAGCAGCCCCACCTCTTTCGGATCTCAGAGATCGTGGTCGGAAAACAAAGCGGCGAGTGACGGGAGGGCGCACGAAGCCTCGTTGATAATAAAATTTGGGCCCGGGTAGTTCCCCGCCCGTGTTAATTAATTTTCGGGAACTAGCGTGTACGGTCATTCTCGTCGCCCTCCACCCACCCACCCCTCGCTAACTCTTTGACAACTACCGGATATAGCAACGTCATCTAACTCGTGTACGAATTCGAATTAAGCCTCCTTTCGCTCACTCTCCCCCCCCTCTCTCTCTCTCTCTCTCTCTCTCTCTCTCTCGTAATCTCCGCAGTGTCATCCATGCCCTTCGTACAGCCTGCCGTGTCACTTTTTCTGCCGCCATTCCCCCTCCACGTTACCCCCCCCCCCACTCACTGTCACCCTATCTCTCTTTACATCTCTATTTACGAGAGTACATCGAAGTCCCTTTGAAGAGGAAAAAGTAATTTCTTCTCTTTACTTTACGAAATCTTAGAAATAAGCACAGCGTGTCATAGATTGCCCGAACGGAAAAGTAAAAGAAGCATCCTCCCCCGTTGCTCTTAGGCAATTGTCGAGTAAAGTGACGTTTGCCATTCTAATAAATTTTATCCACGCCAAGATGGCTTTTATATCGCTATAAGCATTTTCTAAATGCATTGTATCAATGGTTCGTGGCAATTCTATTTTTTTTTTTTTTTTTTTTTAAATTTCACTCAAATATGATGGACGGCTAAACGAAAATTTTGCTTAACTTTGTTTTCCCTTTAATAACTTATCTCGCATATTACACTATAAACACACCCGTTGCTAAGCCTTTTGTGCGTGTGCGTGTACGTGTGCGTGTGCGTGTGCGTGTGAGTGCGCGGGCGCGTACGAATGTGTTTTATTGTTCTGATACAAGAGCTGTAGACAAAAAACATACGGGCGACAACAGAGTTCTATACCAATACTCGTATATCGCAATGCAAATTGATTTTTAATTCTTCGATCGCCGAACAAGGTTAAACCAAACTTTAAATTCATGTTTGTGTACTATGAATTTCACG